ACTTTCTGAGTGGCATGATGAAGATATACACCCTTTGTAACGGTTGATATACACCAAAACATGCACTAAGGTAGCTCTGTGGGATTTGATACTCACTCTCAAGTCATCACATGCCCTGGTAACAGTCTGCAAATGCATGTTCTTAGCCTGCTGGCAATGCAACATATTTTGATCTAGCTCAGTCTACAATGATTGAGGCTCACACCTTAGATTTCATACTTTTTTTGTTTATATGGCCATGAAGAAAGAAAATGTCAATATTTTTTGACAATACACCATCAACAAGTCCACTACTTTAGTTTCATTTTCTACATTCCACACTTAGAAAAAAAGAAAAAAAAATCTGATAATCACTTTGCAGATTTTCCAGGGGAAATACACATTTTAATAAGTCTCAGCTTGTCCTTTTCTAGTTGATTTCAGAGCTGAAACAGGTCTACAGAAAGAAGTTCATTTAATGAAGCCCGTAGGAACTGCACATGTCAAATTAATTCTTCTTTACCAAAATCTGTTGATAAGTAAACAGTTCTAGGACAGTTAAATGGAGTATTGGAACAAATACTCCATTTGGAACAAACACCCGACAGTAACCGGCTACACTGGGCTCTTTTCATTTCTGCTTAGAATTGTAAAAAATATTTCCTATTGCTAACCTTAAAAGCCTTGAAGTTATCAGCACCATTTACGAATCACAACTGATGTAACGTATTCTCTACTGAAAACAATGGATGATCAAAGCAGGATGAGATTAAAGCACTGTGATTTGTGTTTCATTTCCAAGAATATATTTGTATGTATGCAATATGTGTTCCTATGCATCCATAGTAACCACAGCCATAACCCAGAATGTATGGTGTTGGGAGCTTTGCTCTGAAAATCAAGTAGCCCATTAGGAGGCATAAATATTAATAGAGCTGTCTAATCCTACGCTCTCAAATGAGGTAGTTCAGATCATGATTCTTTGCATTTAAAATTTATGCACTGCACGGACTAGAATAAGAAACAGAATTCACTTGTGAAGAAGTCACTGATGCTGGGCGGTCTCTTAGCCACTGATAATTCCTAAACATAAAAGTAAGGATCAAGTGATTTCTCTCCTTATTCTACTCCTAATTCTCCTACAAATACTAATGTATCCAAAACTGCATGTGCCTGATTCCATGACATTGAGTATAGATCATATTCTCTACAAAAGCTACACCTCCACATTTTTCACATTCCAGCATCTTCAGGCAATATGAAGGTTTTAGTACAGGTTCATAAGAGCATCCCAAGTGCAGAACACACAATACCTGGGGTTTCTTTTAGTGGTCATGTTAGTGATAATTTTCAAATTTTCTTTATGTAGTTGTCAGTAAAGTAGGAAATTCATTTGACTTTCTCAAACTGTTGCAACACAAAGAAACTAATATAGGGCATTAAAAAACCACAGGCAAGCAGCTAAACCAGGATGTACAGTCCTCCTAAGAGATAAGAATTTACCTTGTCATTCTGGATCACAAGTAAAATTTTTGTGCTTTGACTATACATTAAAACAGAGATCTGAAATACCAGAGTGCAAAACTATTTAGGTATTCTCTAGCAATGACGCAAAAGTTTTACAGGAAATACCACAAAATCAACAATGTAATTAATATCAGTCAGTAAAATGTGTTATCTAGGTTCTATTAAAATCTAGAATTATGCAGTCTAACCTCTAAAAAAACTACAAAAAATTAATTAGATGCCTTCTAAAAGCAGCCCTAGCAAACAGACAGGTTTATGCTGGTACGCCTACCCACAGCGGAGTTGCTAACCTCTGACCCTCACGTGCCTGAAGCAAACGACACAAAACCAGATATCTTTCTTAATCTATTGAATCAGTACACCAGAGATGAAGTATACTGAAATATAGGCACCCGTATTTAGCAAAAAGCATGCTATTCTGTCTCAGTTCTTTCCACCCAGCTCCAGCCCATCATTCTGTAGTCTCTGCAGTGTGCATATCCAAATCCCACCAATGGGTGGTAACGGTTACAACACTCATTGCAATCTCTAGCGTGACTCATGGGTAGAATCCCTTTCACTTCTGCATCTGTCTTCCTCACTCCCTGTTCTTCAAAATTTTGAATTTTCTCATGTCCCTCAGCAGACAATTAAGTATAGAGAGTAATTTATTTCTCTAGTTCCATCTATTTCGTGTAATAAGAAAGAAACAAACAATATATATGACAACATACGATTATTGGTTTAGTCACTTTCAATTTATATATACTTTATTAAATAAAAAGATGGCATAAAAGTCAGCCTCTTCTTGTATTTTCTCTTCCCAGTAATTTTCATCACTGAATGTAATGACATGACTGCAACCTAAAAATCCCACAAAAGAGATTTAGCCTTTCTTCCTTCATATACAAACCAATGCTATTTCCAAGCTGCTGGTGCTGCTAAGATGCTGTGACTCTATTGCAGCTTTTTTCTACAACACGATTCCTTTTACTACAAGGTACGGGGGCAATCCAAGCCAAGGATAATAATCTTCAGTTATATACAGGTGACTAGAGCGTGAGTTACTTGGAGAACAGAGATTGCTACAGCTATGCCAGCTGCCCAGGCTGGAGGTTTTCAAGAGTTCTCTGCACTTGTCACTGGGAGAAGGTAGGCTTCTGCTGCTTTTTATTGTGCTGTGTGTGCAATGAATTTAACTGGAAAGGTACCTACTGAATTTCAAATAGCTCTCTCTTTATTCTCCTGCAGGCTCACAGGACAATAAACATGACTTTCTCATCTACGGGGCTCTCCCTCCCTTTATTTTTGCTATTTTTCTTTTTTTTTTTTTTCCCCTATATATTCTCTCAGAGAAACAGATACTTTCTGAGAACAACGATGGAGATCTGCATCTTTATTTATGACTTTGTGAATCAGCGTCTGGGTGATAGGAAGTGAAAGTTGCTCAGCTAATTACACACGCTTGATGAACTGCGTAATAACTGCTGCAGCACTGCACATTAATTGAATGCATATAAATGACAGCAGTTATTCTAACTTGAATGATGTGTCAAGAAGTGACGTTGCTCACAGTACCCTGATAATCTTTGTTTCCAACTCTGAGAGTCGAGCTTAAGCAACTGTATTTTTACAAAACTGAGCAAAAATTCCCTAACAGAATACAGTAGAAGTGGCCTCCAAGCCTGACACTTGAAAACAGATTGCCTTAATTTACCGAAAGTGGATTTAGACATCTAAAAATGTATACACAGAGCAGCCACAATTAACAACTAGCTACAACAGGCAGTAGGAGCTTTATGAGCAAAAACCTTGGAAAATAAGGCCACCTTCATCTGTATGCCTAGGTATTGCCTTAAAAACCTAATACAGAGTTTAGAGAGTACTCTTTACCCATCTCTAAACAATTCCCTGCTATGACACTTTCCTAAAATGTATTTGGTAACAGGATCATATAGCAACTCATATAAAAAATGTGGATTACAACTAAAAGGCAACTGTGTACCTCAATACTACTCTGCTTACCTAAAGAGAATTCTAACTTTAAATATAGTCCAACTATTAAAGAACACATTATTTTAAAGAAAACAATGAAGAAAAATAATTTTATGTAAAACAAATGTATAAAGTAGTACAAAAATAGTGCCAAATACCTCCTTTAAATCAGTACCAAAATGTACTTCCTACAGCTTATATCAATTGCTTTGGGAATTTGCAAATGTTCACAAAGAAATTTGCAAGTTCTCCCATACTATCTAGCAAGAAAAGGGTAGAAGTCAAGCTTCTAAAGCTTCCAAAGCAGCCTAGTTTCCAAAGTACCATGTCACAATATTT